CCAGCTGCTGGATACCACGGGCACGAGCGAGGCCTGCCGTGATGCTCACACTCAGTGGCCACTTCCAAGAACATGACACGGCCCAGACCCCCAGAGGCAAAGGAGAGCAGAACAGACCTGGTCATCCAGCCAACCGTCGTCCATGGAGGGGCCGGGGTGCCGGCCCCAGGTGGGGCTGGCAGTGCCCCAAGATGGAGCAGGTGTGAGGGAGGGAGGGAGGCCTCTGGACGTCTGTTGGTCAGAAGAACAACATCACTCGACATCTGTACGTGCCACAGAGTGACCCCCCGCCACAGTCCCCACTCTCCATACCAGATTTGCCTTCCCCCTAATATTTAGGTACAATCTGAAGATGAGGTGGAGGGAGAATATAAAGAGAAACCTCAGGGAGACCCACAGGAGACGGGAGGGGGCAAGTGGGGAGCTCGCTCAGGCAGTAGAAGACACTGGAGGGCTGCCCCTGCAGCTTTCTAGTGGAACACTGCAATTCTTTGTTTACTGAGGAGGAAACTGAGGCCAAGGGCACGGTCTGGACATAAGTGGACCTAGAGCAGGCCCAGAAGCCCTAGCTCGGCGGCCTTGCCCACTCAGCCCTTCTCAGTCTCCCAGCTGTACTGCAGGAGCCCACACAGCTGATACCTTGTTACCCCCAAAAGCCCTTCACCAGCTTGTGGGGTCCCAGTGCCCCCCCACTCAGGACCCGCCATCTGCAACTGAGCGTCCAGTGAAACGTGTCCTGCCGATGGTCCCTGTGGCCCCACGCGTCCTTGCCCCATCCTCCAGCCACCCCAGCGCTGACACCCCAGGCAGCACCGCAGGTGAGCGCGTCTCCTGGGACATGGAGTGAACACACAACCACAGATGTGTGCTGGGCCCACATGGAGGGACCGGGGCGGGGGGCTCATCCCTGGAGGATCCAGCTCCGTGCTCCCCCAGAGACACCCCCAACGTGACAGCGAGGGCCAGGAACACCCAGGTGACCCACGTCCACAAGACCCCACTGTGCCCACGGGTCCCGCCTCAGCCCTTTTCTATTTTTACCAGGGGAACGAGGGGGGTTGCCAGGAAGGGCCACGTCGCTGTTTATGTCTGAAATTTGAAAAGATGCTCAGCGTACTCGGGAGAGGTGTTTGCAGTTCAAGGAGTTTCAGGGAAGAATTTCAAGCCCAGCGTGGGGAATAGGTGCCTTGTGTTCTGGCTTTTGACTCTGGAAAAGGCCCATTTCCACCCCAGCTGTGCAGAGGGGCCGGGGTGGGGAGCACATGTGGGGGGTGGATGTGCACAGGCTGTGGGACCCCTCACCTGGGCCAGGGATCAGCTGGCTTTTACTCTGGGGGTGCTTGGGTGGGGAGGCTGCCTGCCCCTCCAGTGTACTTTTTATTTATTTCCAAATGAACTCGAGAGGCGTCCCCCTGCGTCTGTATCTGGGCATCCCCCTGCATCTGATTCCTCCCACATCTGTGTTCCCCTGAGCTGTCAGTTGCCCCGAGGCCTCATTTCCTCATATAGATACATCTGCCTCTTCAGCTCGAATCTTCTGTTTGTGGGTTAAATCCTAAGTGGCCTTTGATAACTGAGGGTCCTTATTTCATTGACACACAAAGGGCCTGGCGATGTCTTGCTTTCTTGAGATCAGCAGCTATTCCTTCAAGAACCACCGAGGGAAAAGACCAATTATAATAAAGTAAAAATCAAAATCAACAGGCAACTATAAACCAGACACACAAAATGGGTGGAGGAGGGAGTAGGATCAAAACAAGGGGGTGGGAATTTTACGGGGACTATAACCAAGATGAAAATGCATACACTGTACAAAAATGAAAAATGACGTAAAAATACATAAAATAAAAATAATTAATAAAAAAAAAAAGAACCACCGAGGGCCCCACGTCCCGGCCGGGTGGCCTTTATCGCATCTCTCCTCTTCGTCCTTCCGAGGTTAAACCTGCTCCGCGGCTCTGGAAGCCCCAGCCCCAACTCCATGTGCCCCACGGGAAGCCAGATCCTTGGCTGGGGTGGCTTTGGGACTTCTGACTTGATCTGGGCTCCACGGTGGACCTGACCCTTAAGTGGGGAGACCTGGCTGGAGATCAGGAGAGCACAGCTGGTCATCTCGTCTCTGGGGGCCACGGGGTAAGTGCCAGGCGCCAGGGCTGAAAATGGGCACCAGCCGTCAGAGCCCGAGAGCCCACGGCCAAGCGCTGACGCACATGTACTTTGTATTTTTAATTAGTCATCAGCTGATTTTACCTACAAATCCAGATATTTGACTTCGCAGAGAAACAACCACTACCACTGCCATTCCCACCACTACCGCTGAGGTACCAGCACTACCTCTGCTGGCACCCTCCTGCCTCTGACACCACCTCCACTCCTGCATGATGCTACCACTGCTAGCACTGTTATGACAACTAGCTCTCCCACCCCGCTGCTGCTGGTGCTCCCATCCTCGGTGCTCCCACTGTTAGTTCTCCCACTGCTGCTGGAGCTCCGCTGCTATGCACTGCACTCTCTTCCCCACCGTGACTCCCACTACGCATGTACAGTGAGACCCAAGCAGTGACTGTGGGGCCAGCTGGCTGTCACTTCGCCTGGGTCTTGCACTGCCAGGTTGCAAGCTCACGAGAAGCAGCACTTCTATCAGTTCAGAAACAGACACAGCTGCTCTGTCAGTGAGGTCAAGACCAGTGGGGTAAGCTGAGCAGAAGGGCCAGGGAAGCCTGCTAAGGAGCTGAAATACCCTCTGTCTTGATTTGGCTGTGATTACAACAGTGCCCGCAGATGGAAACCCATCAAGTCGTACCTGGCACTTTATTCTCTGTAAATTATGTATCACGAGAAAGCGTGGAGGGAGGAGAAAACGTGGACACAATGCCTAGCTGCCTCGCTCAGCACTGGGCATACAGCAGGTGCTCAATAATGGTTGCTACTAAGACTGTATTTTAATGTGTGCAGGCTCTGAAGCTGGTGGCTGGGTTGGTTTCCTGGTCCGCTATCAGCACCCTGTGAACTTGGGCAGCTGAATGAAGGTATCCTCGATTTCTTCATCTGAGGGTGCAGCAGAGGGTCTTGTGAGCTTTCACCAGGCCCCGAGCACGGGTCCTGGCACACAGTGGTGTTTAATAAGGGTCCATGAACTAAGGAAGTCCTGATCCTGTCACAGCCCAGAGGAACCTGGCTGCCAGCTCACTAAGTGAACCAGCCGGTCAGTAGGGACACTGGGTGAGTGCACTACACTGGTCACCACAAGCAGTCGTGGGGGTAGGAATTCTACAGTGAGTAGAACGGGGGCAGGGCCAGCGGGGAGGGGAGGAGGTTGAGAGATGGGCACAGAGTTTGAGGGTGGGGAGGAGCTGCGAGATGAAGCCAGGATGGCTGTGGGGCAGGAGGATGCACTTAATGCCCCTGAACTGGACACTTGACACAGTTCAGATGATCGGTTTGGTGGCATCTTAGCACAATCACACATCAATAAATCAATAATGCGCTGCTGGCGAGCCTGTGCTGGCCTAGGAAAAACCGAAGTGTGAATTTTGTATTTCTATTATGATGTGTGAAAATCTTCAATAAAAACTTTTCAGAGTGAACCAACGATTATCACTGAAAGAAAGTGAAGAGGTCAGACGCCGAGGCCAGGAGAGGACGGTCAGCTCCAGGGACACGGCGGCTGGAGTAACAGGAAGAGGGAGAGGAGCCACGTCTGGCTCTGGGGGGGCTGGGGAGCGCGCCTCCCTCCCCTCTCCTCCCTGCTCTGCTGGGAAAACCTCCTGGCTGGTGACGATGATGGTGAGGACCACGAGGAGGAGGCGGAAGGGAACTCCTGCTGCAGCAGCCCCCTCAGCAGCCTTCCCTGCATCCTCCCGACCCTCACAACACTAGCAATGACCAAAATGCGCGCTGTCATCCCCTCCTTTGTAAATGGCTGCATTTTGCTCAAAATAAAACTCTACTAGGAACTCAGAGGGGAAAATCAGACTGAATTATCAAGAAATGAGTTTCCTTAAATGTGCCTACAGGGGAAATGAAGTTGATGGGGCTTTTTATGCCACTAGCCTCTGCGGCCATCACTGCGGCCTTGACGGTGCTAATGCGGAGGCGCTCGCCAGCGTGGGCCTGGGATACATGGGCCTGATTGTGGACACCTGGAGAGTGGGTGCAAGTGTGCACACCTGAGCCTGGAGGTCAGGGATATAAGGGGTGTCACTTGGAGACGGGAGGTGGCTGCGAAAACGGATGCTAAGGGAGGATGAGTGACTACTGGGGAGGCAGGACACCAGAGAACCCCAGAGAGAGCCCAGGGAAAGAGTAAAGATTCGTGCGGGGCTGGGAGGCTTGGCTGTCCACCTGCCTGCCAGCTCCCCACCCCACCCACCCCACCTGGCCCATGCCTGCCTCCTTGCATGCCAGCTTCCCTGCCTGGTGTGCCTGAGAATATTGAAGCCTGTAAAATCCACTGAGAGCTCGGGGACACTCCTTTATCCATCTGCCCGAATCCATCGTGAGCCTCCCTGTGCCTGCTGGTGCTACCCTGCCCCTCAGCTTCTCTGCCCAGGTGACCCAGGGTGCCCCTATGCCGGCAGGCCATTCTCTCCCACCGCCCGGGAGGAACTGTACGTGTTTCACTGTTGTCCAGTTCTCGCACTGGAACGCTTCCTCCGAGTTTGTCACTTGCACTGTGTTCAAGTAGTAAAATGGCACCTTTCAAATGTTCCACTGGTTCTGGGAAGACTCCCCCCCGCCCACCCCCCCGCCCAGTTCTGCAATAAGAAGGCTTTTCTCTATCAGAGTTCACAGCCCTTTGCTTCCCAAAAGGATCATAACGTTCCCTCCACAAGTTCCATCTAGTATTTCTCACCGCCACGCTCCGAGGAGTGGCCCAGCAGCCAGGAGCGATGTGCTTCGCCCCAGCACGTCCAGCTGCAATCGCCATGGCCGCGCAGAGCGAACCCACGCCGTAGCCAGCTCTGACACTGCCTCTCGCTCTCACCGTTTCAGAGGTTGCTCCATTTTACAAATGAAGACACAAGACCCAGCGAGGTTAAACTTCCCCAGCCACTACGGAAAGCGATCTGGATTTGTCTTTAATGGAAACACCGGAAGCCCTAGCGAGCCCCATCATGGGCTTCGGGCCAAAGAACATTAACCCATCAATGAAAACAACTATGCTCTTCAGAGTCCACGGTGGCATCATTTCTGAGGCTGGACGCGGAAGCTCACGAAAGTCCATCAGTAAACACTTGAATCAAGAAGACACGGTCTAGCCATGCTCTTACCCCCAGAGAAAGATGAAGGTCAGCAAAATGGAAGGCGTCCTGGGAATGGCGACCAAGACAGCATTGGGCTTTTCTCAGGGAGGACTGGATGAAGGAAAATACAGAAACCAGCAGATGTTAACAAACTTCATGGGGGTGCTGAGGGTAGAGTGGCGGGGGCGGGGGCACAGTGAAAGGAACAAGGGATCAGCACAGATAAGGGATTTTTAAAAAAAGATTTATTTATGCATACAAGAACTGGGGTGTGGGCCAGAGGTGCAGGGGTGAGAGGATTCACCAGAGACAGAGTGGGGAGCAGAACAGGCAGATCCACTGTAATACACTGCTGAGGGGAGCACCAGGGAGAAAGGAGAGGTCTGCTATGCCCTGGCTGGGGATTGAACTTGTGCTGCAGAGGCTGCAGATAGCTTCATAGGCTGTGTCTTAACCCCTTGTGCCACCAGGGAGGTCCCCAGATAAGGGATTTGGTGGGGAAAGAAAGAAGCCATGTGACTGCCAGAAGTGGAGTCACAGCCCGAGCTGGAGCTCACAGGGAACCTCTCTCCTCCTCCCTGGTGTATGGCTGGAGACAGACATGGAGGCCTTTCCTGGTGGCCACTGTGAAAACACCCTGTGGGCTTGAACCATCCACAAGTCTCAGCATCAGCCCGACATGTGACAAACACCACAACAGCCATCTTGGCCCAGTGGAAGGAGCAGCATCCCCAAGGAGCGCTGTCCGGCACCTGGGTCAGCCCCAGCGTGTGCACACAGTCCTGGGAGCAATGGTTTAGAGGGGGCGCCACAAACGCAGGTCTCCAGAGAGCGAGGGATCCAGAAAGAAATGGCCTTGGGAGGCAGGTAAAGGACTTGTGAGCCTTGCACTGTATTCCAGGAGAAACGGGGTGATGGAGAAACCTTGGCTGGTGCAGGCTTCGGAGAAGCCCTGCAGACACCTTATGTGGGGACCGGTGTGACGCCCCACAAGAGACGGAAACAGCCCTCCCTGGTGATGCTTACATGGATGGAGGCAGACAGCCTCCAAGATGCCCCCAGACCCCCATCCCCTGGTATTCACTCCCTGGGGTGTCTCTTCCTGCTGGCTCAGGGCTGTCCCCGTGCGGGCGCTGAAGGCAGGGGATGTGACCGTGTGTGCCTCACAGCGCCAGGACGTGGAGGCATCGCAGCTCCACTGGACTCTTGGGTCGTCACGGTAGCAGAAGCCAGTCACCAAGCCACAGAGACACGAAGCCAGTCACCAAGCCACAGGCTGCCGCTCTGCAGCCCATCCAGAGAAGAATCAAGGCTACCAGCCCACACCGGCAGGCCAGCCATGTGAGTGCCGACTGAGACCTGGGACTCCAGGCCAGGGCAGGCCTCTGCTGACTGCAGTCTTGTGAGACAGTTCACGTCAGAAAGGCCTGGCCAAGCTCCTGCTGAGTCCTGACCCATAGAAGCCAGGAGAGGGAATAAGTGACTCTTGTTTTAAGCCATTATGTTGGTGGGTGACATGTTACCTAGTCATAACAGGCGGGGGAGGGAGCCCTGGCCTCATGAAGGGCTGTCTCCAGAGCCCCAGGCCGGGTTCCCTGAAACGCTTTTCTGAACAACCTGAGGGACAACACAGATGTGAATACCGGTCAGCTTAAGAGATGATCTGCTGCTGAGAGGAAGAGCAAACACAACAAAAGACAGACCCAGGATCCAAGGAGGAGTGAGCTGAATTTAGAAGGGTAATCTTTAAGAGAGGCCAAGATAAAGTCCTGGCTTGGATTAGAATGACCTACTGTGCCAAGACAAGCCATGGGTGACATTGGGCCCCAGCAGCATATACAGATGGAAAGATCTGAGCTGGCTACACGTTCAGAATGAGCCACATTGCTGCTGCCAGAAAAGCACATAAATATAGGTTGCATTAACAGAAGTATAGCACCCTGACAAAGGAGGTGAGCTCACCCCAGGGCTGAGCACACTAATAGGAGTACTGTGTTCAGTTCAGAATGAGTCTTTACATAAGACACAGGCCCTCCAAACCTGCCCGAGGCAGAATGGGAGTGGACAGAGGTCTGCTGATGGAGACAGACGAAGGACAGAGTAGGGTGGGGATGCCTGGGCACCAAGGAGGAGAGGGGTGGACACCGGCAACATGATCACTGACTCCAAACACACAAAGATCTGTCCCATAACGGGAGTTTCAGGAGACAAGACCAAGAGGTGGGAAGGAGCCTGTTCTGTTCCCGCTGGACCCTGAGTGACACTCACCAGCAGGGGCTTCTATAAAGTCACAGAGCTGCCTGAATGCTACAAACACAGAAAAATGGGGTGTGGCCTCAGACAGGAGCCAAGCCATTGTCTGCTATTCTTCTCAGGGACACTCAAGGAGGGGACTGACCTATCCCTGCGAGGGCAGTTCTCCCCATGCCTGAGGCTCCCAGCTCTGAGATGCTCGCATTCTGTATTCTGTGCAGGAACGAGCTTCTCAGACTTTACACCGGAGCATCTTACTCCAATGCAGGTTCCAAGTCGGGGGGAGAGGGCCTGGGGAACCTGAGATTCTGCATTTCCTGCATGCTCCCAGCTGACGCTGCCAGTTTATAAACCACACTTGAGCAGCAAGGGCTTTAGAACTTTCTTCTGGCCGTGGATGGGCTCAGGCAGCCTGGAAAGGTTGAGAATCAGGACAGAGGGCTGTCAGACCAGAGAGCCCACACAACCAGCAGACACCAGAGCCAATTGGGGGGTCCACATGCCACCGAGGGCTGTATCTTCCCAACCCCCTTCAATTTTCAGCACCTTGGTGTGTAAACTGGCAACAGCAGCCACCTGGCAGGCAGCTGTACCAAACATGGGCTCATGGCACCTTCCATACCCTGGTTACAAAGCTTCATTGCCGAGATGGCCGGCCTGGTTCCTCTTTGTCCTTGAATGGACTTGTGCTTCCTGGTCCGGGATATATGGCAGACAGGGCCCCACTTTACAGGGGAGGGTGCAGTGTGTTCTCACCTAGGGCATAAGGCAAACAATGGCATGGGAATCTGTGACCTCACCTGCTGGAATTTTAAGACCTGGTCTTTTCTAGAAGGGTCATTTCCCCTGGTCCAGCCATCGAGATCAGTAACCAACATGACTTCACCCCGTTTCTCTGAGAGGGAAGATGCTCTTCTCCACGAGGGGCTTGCCAGCAGGTCAGCAGTGCCCAAAGTGGCCTGAATTTAGAAACCAACAGAGTGGGTAGAAAAGGGGGGAGCCAAGAACCACCAGCACTGGGACAGGGCAGTCAGGGAGGTTCAGGAACTGGTGGGCGGGGTGCTCCCCGCCCCTCCCCAGTGCAGGGAAGGGGGAGCTCCCCAGTGCAGGGAAGGCCAGACCTAACCCTGCCCACAAGCAGAGATGCCGGTAAAATACCCACACAAATCCAGAGCGGGTCCCCCAGGGAAACTGAGGCATCAGTGCCTTTAACCATGGAGAAGCTGGGTGCCTGGTCTCCCTAACAGGCAGCCCACAGAGGTGTCGCTTCTTGCTCTTCTCCAGTCCTTGACCAAGGAGGCACCAAGCGGGTCCTGCCTGAGTCACTGGATCTTTGCATGAAGCACCACCCCTGTCCCCCAGAAGGGCCTCCAAAGGCCACCAGGCAGCCAGGACCCCTGAAAAGTGGCCCAGCTGAAGCAGCAGCCTGTGCAGCGAGACCGAGGGTGTGAATTCAAACCCACCTTGGGGGAGTGGGGCCGTAAAATCTACCCCATTGGGATCTGAGAAAATTAAATGAGAAATTCATGTACGGTCAGTAGGAGGCTCACAGAGGGCTTGCAAAAGTCGGGTTTTTTTTCTTTTTTTTCTTTTTTATTCTTTTGCCTGGAAACACTCACTCAGGAGGGCTGTCTCTGGCGCGAAGGTACCGGGACGTCCTGCTTCCTTTGCGATGTCCTTGGTCTCGCCCTGGTTTTGATGACCCCATCCTTTGGTCCCGGGGCTGCCAGCCCCCAGCGCACCTCCGCGGGGTCCCCTTACCCCCTTCTCTCCCCGCCCCCCTTGCTGTCCCGGCGCACCCCATCCCCAAAAACTTTGGGTCAGCTCCTCGGGAGGGTCCTTCCACGGCGCGGCCGGGAGCAGGGGCCGCGCCCTCGTCTCCTCCCGCGGGTGTCGGCTGCGGGCCCCGCGCCGCGCCGGGGAGCCGGGTCCGCCGCGGGCGCTCCGGGGCGCAGCCCGCCCGGGCCTCTCCGCTGCGGAGCCGCCGACCGCAATGCAGACGCGGGCCCTCCAGCCCGGCTCGCGCCGCCCTCCTGCCGCGGGCCCCGGGGCGGCCGGCGCGCTCCTCTCGCGCCCTGCGCGCCGGGCGGCTTCCCCGGGCGCGCGGGTCCCGAGCCAGGGTCCGGCGCGCCCCGGCCGCGCCCGCCTCCCCTCCCCCTGCCGCCGCCCCCGGGCCCCCCGGGGGTGGGGTTTGCAGCGGCGCGGGCCCCCGCCCGCCCCCGCCCGCCCCGCGCCCTCCCCGCCCCCGCCCGCCCCTATGTATGTGTCACCGCGCGCCATGCCCGCCCACCTACCTCCCCGCCGCTCAGAAGGGGCTCGCGGAGCTGGGGACGCGCGCGCCGCGGCTCAAGGTCTCGCTCTCCGGACCCTCCGACCGGCCCCTGAAGCGGGCGCCAGCGGGTGCCAGCGGGCGCCTTCCCTCCGCCAGCCGCGACCCCGCCACCCGGCCGCCGCCGCTGCGGCCACCGCCGAAGGGGACCTGCGGACAGGACGCCGGCAGGAGGAGGGGTGCGCAGCGCCCGCGCAGAGCGTCTCCCCCGCGGCGCCCCGAGACCCGGGCCTCCCGGCCCCAGGAGCCCCGGCGGCCTCGCCAGGTGTAAGGGACTGAAGTTCTTGGAGAAGGGAGCGCAACTCTTCAAGGTAACTGTCCCCGCGCGGCGGGGGCGCCCGGGCAGCCCGCGCGGTGATGGGGCTGCTCCCCTGTCCCGGGGCTGCGCTGCCTGGCTGCCTCCCCGGGACGTGCTGCAGGGGGCTCCCCACACCCACCAGCATCCGCAGTGAACTTGGGCAAACTTTCTGGCTGTTGCAGACTCACTGAATGGGGAAGGACACTGAGGGGTTCCTGCGCCTGTCCCCCACATTCAGTACAGCACTGGCGCCTCTGCTCCAGCTGCCCTTCCTGTGGTCCAAGCCCGGGTCTGGGACCAGCCCTGCTTGCAGGTGGCCACTTCAGCGGCAGGGGATGTGGGTTCAAGTCCCGCCGAATCCACTTCTGAACCGGAGGAGCTGCTTGTCTCCATGCGCCTTGCCGGCGGGCCCCAGGTGCAGCAGCCTCCTGGGCAGGGTGAGGGCCAGTGCCGCAAACGTGTGCCCCGAGGCTCAGGTAGCAGCAGGTGTGGAAGCGGAGGTGAGGGAAGGCAGGGTGGGCGCCCTTGGCAGCTTGGTCAGCTCCAGGAGCCACGGGGCACCCCAAACGGTGGCCAAGAAGTCCAGAGGAACCAGCAGAACCCAGGACAGGGCTGCTGCGCCAGGGCTGAGCGCAGTGCCACCAAGAGGGGCATTCTCGGGCAAGAGAGGGAGTCGAGGACACGTGTCTTCAGACAGTTTCCCTCTGGGTTGCGCAGCAGATGCAGTCAGTGATGGAGCAGGAGCCCCTTCTAACCCTGGGGCCGGGAGGACGGTTGTCAGTGTCGAGGCCACGGCCATGGAGGCCAGAGCCAACTGTGGGGTAAAGGGTGTCTCCTGTTGGCCTTCAGGGGCCAACCCAAACTTTTCCATCGCTGCCCTGCTTGGAGTTGTGGGAGGGTTGATGGCCTCCTTGGGCTTCGCCGCTATGGAGCCGGACCCTGCATTTTGATTAATGCTTAGATTCCAGCTCTGGGGCGCGGTTTCTGGAGGACGGGGGGAAGATGCCAAGGGGTGTTGTGGGGCTGCTGGTTCTGGAAGCTGCGGTGGGTGGCCATCTGACTGTTTGGGGGAACCCTGGACCTTGGAAACACCCGTCTCAGCTCAAGTTGAGGGAGAGTGAACTGGGAAGGTGCGGTGACTTTCTAAAGGTCGCACGGAGACTTCGGGCCAGGGATGGGACTGGACCCCGCTCCGCTGATTTCAGAGCCTGGAAGTCTGGGCTCTAATTCTCCCCTCTCTTGCTTGTCTTCTGGGTTTCAGGGGAAAAAGGGCAATCGGGGGGCTTGCACCCCTGGACAAGGCAGTTTAGGAGGCTCAGTAAAGATCCATGTAGGTGTGTTGGAATGGACGGGCACTGGGGGAGAAAACCCCAAACCTTGTCAGGAGTGGGAGCAGTGTTGGGGTGACTCTAACCCCCCAAAATTACAGAACATAAGGTCCCTCCAGTTTAAAAGCTTTGGGATGAAGGAATTGTCAGAAAGAAGAAAAGCTTGCTCAGAAAAATGCTGGAATTTCCAGGTTCGTGGGGCTGTGCTGAAATCGGATGTGCATGTATGCCGTTTCCAGCCGCAAGGGTCGCCCCTAACCCCGCAGACCTGCTGAGGGGCTCGGGCTCCCCGCTCTGTCTGTGCTCAGTTGGGGCTGGGTGGGCAGCGACCATGGTGGAGGGGTCCCTGTGCCGGCCTGAGGCAAGCTCCCTGACGTAAACCTGTTACTGCCTTGCTCATTTTAGTAGGAAGTAGTTTTTCTTTTCCTAAACATTTCAATGAAAATCATCAAATTGAGTCTCTCTTTATTATCTGGTCAATGCGGAGCAGAACAGTCCCGAGGCTGAAATGAAGGAAATGTTACTTATCTGGGGGGAGTCTGGGTGCCTGAGTGGTGAAGTCCTGTCCCCACACTTTTCCTCACCCCCTCACCCCCCTATCCCAGGCAGCCTGCACCCCACCACACGGAGCTGGCAGAGCCCCAAGAGAAAGCTGGCTCCTGGGATGGTGAAGAAAGGGGTGCCAGGCCGCCCCCTGAATGCTCTACCCCTCTGGAGGGGTTTCTGGCTGCCCAGCTGCAGGCAGGCACCCTCAGCTCCTCTCTGCTAAGGGTTTCCAGGCCCCCTGGGGGTCACACACTGTAAGCTCAGGACAGTACCAGTTTCCACTGTTCTCTTAGCAAACGCCATTCCTGCAGCTCTTGGTGTGGGTTTTTTGAATGATGCCTTCCAGAACCAGTTCTGCCTATGACACAGGCCCTTGCTTACGTCACCAGTCCGTCTGTCCTGTGGGCCCCCAACCCAGGACTTGAACAGCTGCAGGCTGTGAAGCCAGTTTAGTGGGGAGTTAATGACACAGGCAGGAACGAGCTCCTTGTGCCGCCGTGGAGTGGGCATGAGCCTCCTTCTAGATGCGTCCACATGTTAGGTACATTGCAGTCCTGCGGAGTGCGGGTTTCCAGCATATACAGACACGTGCAGCCATGTGCGCCCTTGACATCGGGCCGTGCGCTACTTACAGAGAAGCTGGACAGACCCGACTCAATGCTCCTTCCACCCCAGAAGGCCCTGGCTACAGCCCGAGGCGCAGGCCAGGGCGCCCCCACTGGTAGGAACCGGACCTTAGCATCTCCGCAGAGAAGGCGCGAGGCTGGCAGGGGCTGCTGGAGCAGGAGCAGGGACAGGCCTACTGGCAGCGGCCGGGCTTGAAATGTTGCCCTGGGCCAGGGGCCTGTGGGAAGAGCCCATCCTGGAACAGGGGCCCCTCCTACCATCATGGGGCAGGGGGAGTCCTCACGGGCCTGCCCTGGACCCCAAGGGAGCTTCACTGCTGTGATCCTTCCTTCCGGAAGCCCCCTTCAGAGGGCGAAAGGGGAGCCCTCGCTGCGCCTTCTTCCCTGGGGGTGGCTGTTCTCCCCCCCAAAGCCTACTGGATACCCCTAGCCCTGGATGGAGTGGAGACAGCAGGGGGAGGCGGGCAAAGGTAGGGCTGGGGCAGGCGTGCAGCAGGGGGAGGACAGAGAGGGGGATTTGCAGGGAGAACGGTGAAACAGCTCCTTTTTTCAAAAGTTGAACCCAGGGCAAGAACGGAAACTGTGGAGTTTACTTTTAAAATCTCAGAGCGTCCTTGTAAGCAGGGGGGAGAGAGAGAGAGAGAGAGAGAGAGACTGTGTGTGTGTGTGTGTGTGTGTGTGTGTGTGTGTGTGTGTGTGTGTGTGTGTAGGGCGGCCCTGCGGCCGGCCTGGGTGTGTGAGAGGCCACAGCTCCCCCCTCTCAATGGGCTTACAGTGTCCCCTAAAGAAGTTTTTTGTTAAGCTCATGAAT